CCAGCCCCTCCGCTCCTAATGGCCTCCCCCCCCCCCCCGCGCCCGCGCAGCTCGGCTTTCCTGTAAGCGCTGCGCGCCCGGCCGGAGCCCTGCTAGGAAATGCTCTGATTCCCTTTAATAATTCATGGGGGCTCCATCTACGGATGGCTCGCCGCCTCCGCTGCCCGCGCCTCCAGGCAGGAGGGGGAGCAGGGAAACTGAGGCACGGAGCAGCTGGGGGTGGGGGGCTAGTGCCAAGAGACCCCTGCACTCCTCTGCAGCTGCCTGGCTCCACTCCCGCCATGCCAGGCCCACTACTGTCCGTCCCTCAGGGCCCCGGTGCTGAGAAGGGGCCGGATCAGGCCCCCGTGCCACAAGCTCTGGTGTCAGAGGGTACTCGTGGTCCAGGCCTTGTCCACTTGTCCTGGGTCTGCTGTGTCCAGTGCGTGTGAGTGTGCATGTGTGTGCACCACTGGGAGTGTGCTGGCAGGCTCATGTGTGCATGTGTGTGTGTGGATGGGTGGGTGTATGCTTGCCACTGGGTGTGTTCCAGCAGGCTCACGAGTGGCATTCAGCATAAATAGCGTGTACAACTGTGTGCCGGCCTGAGCATGCTGCGGGCATAAGCATGTTACTCAGCATGTGCCTGGGTGTGTGTGCACACATGAACGTGTCCCGTCACACATGTCTGTGTATGCTTCTCTGCTTGGGTCAGTGCACCCGTGCCCTGCTTCACACGTGTGTCAGGCCACGGAGTTCTGCATGTGCATCGGGCCAGGCAGCAGCCTGTCTGCCTTGGTGGGTGCCTGCCCAGCGCCAGCTGCATGGATCATCCCTGCTCTGTGCCTCAGTTTCCCCAGCTGCACCATGGCTGGGGGGAGGGGGGTCCCCGCCTGGTTTGTGCCCGTCCCTGGGTCTGTGTTCGGGGAGACGGGGCCGCAGCCACAACTCCCAGAATGGCTTGCCACGGGGCCTGGGGACTGCGGAGCAGCGTGTGTGTGTGTGTGTGTGTGTGTGTCCATGGCAGACTCCTGGGCTCTGTGTATGCAAGTGAATGTGTGTGCATGTGTGTGTCCATCCTGGACACCCAGGTTCTGTGTGTGAATGCGTGTCCCCCAGGCACCTGGTTTTGTGTGTGCATGCATGTGCTTGTGTGTGTCTCAGACTCCTAGGTTCTCTATGTGTGTGCATGTGAATGTGTGTGTCCCTGTCCTGGATGCCTGGATGCTGTGTATGTGTATGTGTATATATCCTGGACACCTGGGTGCACACGTGTGTGTGTGTACCAGATGCTTGGGTTCTGTGTGCATCCATGTGCATGTCCATGCTCCCCAGACACCTGAGTTCTGTGCGTCTGTGTGTGCACGCATGTGCGTGGGTGCATGCGTGTGTGTCCCAGATGCCTTCATTCTCTATGTGTACATGTGTGAGCATGCATGTCCTGAATGCCTGGCTTCTGTGTGTGTGTATGTATGTGTGTGTGTGTCCTGGATGACTGGGTTCTCTATGTGTGTGTGTGAGTGCGCACATGTCCCTGGGTTATGTGTGTGTGTGTGTGTGTGTGTGTGTGTGTGTGTGTGTCCTGGATTCCTGGGTTTTGCAGTGTGTATGTGTGTAGCCTGGTTGTGTGCATGTACGTGTGCATGTCCGTCCTGTTCTCCTGGGTGTGTGTGTGCGCATTCAGCGCAGGTCTGCCCTCCCCAGTGCCCACCAGGCCGCAGGTGCAGCGCCAACCATCGTGCCAGGTCAAGAACCGCCCCCCACCCCACGGGCAGCTCAGGTTTCGCCCCAGCCAGGCCCCCCACCCCGGGCCTGGCGCCCCTGCAGGCCCCGGAGAGCTGGCGCTGGGCTGAGACCTGCCAAGCTTGTGCCACCCCGTGGCAGGGCAGGGGGTATGGGGCAGGTGAGGTCCTGGGAGGATGCTGCTGTTGCTAAGCAACGCGCCTGGTACCCAGGGCAGTGGGTTAACCCTGTCCTTCCCAGTGGGTGCGTTGGGGCTGCACGGGGCCAGGCCGCCGTAGCCAGGGCCTGGCTTCTTCTCGAGATGCAGTGCATTTGTGTGCATGTGCACTTGCGTGTGCATGATCATGTATGTGCATACATGTGCACACAGATGTGCATGTGTGTGCACGCATGGATATGTCTGAGCCCAGGGGCTAGATGAGCAGGGGGCCGCGGGTTAGGAGTGAGGGCACCCCCGGCTGCCATCAATGCGGGGAGCAGGACACACGCCATTCCCATCCTGAGTCTGTCCAGCAGGGGGCAGTGACACACACAGTCACACATGCCTACACACGCACACAGCCCTGCACACACCTGCACCCATGTCCCCATGTGCACGCTTGCACATGCGCACAAACTAATCCAGACCCTTCAGCTCCCTCTGGACCTCCCCACTCCATGGGGGCTTGGAACTGACCCCCAGAGCCCCCCACCACCACCGTACCCCTGCTTGTGTGCCCCCAGGGCCAGGGATGGGGAGTCCCGCTCTGCCACTGACTGCCCACATGTCCCTGGTCATGTCCCCTGTCTGCCAGCGCCCAGCACCTCGGCCTGGTCCCTGGTGCCTGGACAGCACCAGGCAGGGGCAGCAGGGTCTGCGAGGGCACGGGGCGGGGTCTGAGGGCTGTGGGGGGAGTCTGGGGGCCGGGGTCACACTCCCCGCTCTCCCCACAGCGGGGTGGGCCTGGCTCGTGCCCACTTCGAGAAGCAGCCGCCCTCGAACCTGCGCAAGTCGAACTTCTTCCACTTCGTGCTGGCCATGTACGACCGGCAGGGGCAGCCCGTGGAGATCGAGCGCACCTCCTTCATCGACTTCGTGGAGAAGGACCGGGTCAGGAGCAAGGGGCTCCGGGGAGCACCCAGGGGGCTGTGGGGTGGGGAGGGGGAGGAGGTTTGGGCTCATGGAAGGGGGTGGAGGTGTCCAGACAGGACCCCCGTGCACCCTCTGGCCTGGGCTGTCATGAGTTTTCCCCCTGCCCTTTGCCCCCGACCTTTGCCCTGCCCAGGAGCAGAATGGTGAGAAAACCAACAACGGGATCCACTACCGGCTCCAGCTGCTCTACAGCAACGGTGAGGGGGAGCCCGCGGGCCGGGGCTGGGGGCACCGGCAGGGCTGGGGGCAGGGGGTTAGGCCGGGAGTGGGGGGCTCCTCACTGACCCTCCCGTGCCAGGGCTGAGGGGGCTGGGGGGGGGCGCTGGGAGCCTCCCCCAGCAGCTGGGGTTTTCTGGGGGCAGCTGCCATCAGCCCCCCCCATACCTGCCCCCATCCCCTACCATAGCCCCACACCCCAGCATGCCTGGCCCTGCCAGGCCCAGCTCCTGGGGGGCTGCGGGTCAGGAGTGAGGGGCACCAGCAGGGCTGGGGGGGCTGGGGAGGCCAGGCCCTGCGCTCACCCCCGGCCCCCCCAGGCCATCATCTACGAGGGGCAGGACAAGAACCCCGAGATGTGCCGCGTGCTGCTGACCCACGAGATCATGTGCAGGTGGGTGCTGGTGCTGGTGCTGGTGCTGCCGCGGCTGGGGTGGAACCGGCCCCCCTGGAGCACGGCTAATTGCCCCCACAGCACTGCACTAACGAGCCCAGGGGGGGCCGGGGGGCCTGTTTGTGCTGGGCTGAGCCCCAGGGGGGGCCCTGCCTGCGTCTACCCACTAGGGCCCCCTCCGCCCCACCCACATTAACCCTTTGCTGGCCCAGCAGGGAGGGGGTGGGGAGCACTGGGGGGGCCCTGTGGTGCTGCCTCAGTTTCCTCTCCTGAGGGCTGGGCCCAGCCCCCCGCAAAGCAGTCACAGGCTGTTCCCCCCCCTCCCCCCCCCCAGCCGCTGCTGCGACAAGAAGAGCTGCGGGAACCGCAACGAGACGCCCTCCGACCCCGTCATCATCGACAGGTACGGCGGGGGGGGGCCTGAACACCTGGCTTCCAGACCTCTCTGTGCTCCTGAGGCTCAGTTGAGCTGTGCCTCAGTTTCCCCACGTGTAAAGGGGATGCAGGGAGGGGAGGGGACCCGTCTCCGCTGCATGAAGTTGGGGCAGGGGCTGCAGGTCAGGAGTGAGGGGCATCGGTAGGGCTGGGGGGGCATGGGGGCTGCGGGTCGGGAGTGAGGGGCACTGGAAGGGCCACATGGCATCTGAGGCTGCACGTGCCAGGAGCACGCCTGGGCCAGGCACACACACAGGCATGTGTCAGCACACTGCACACAGACATGTCAGGCATGTGCCTCATGCCCACATAAGTGTCACATGCATGTTGCGCACATGCCAGAAAGATGCAACTTTCAGGTAAGTGTTGTGTGTGTGCTGTGCACACACAGACATGTGATTTGCACACCAGAGTCACACCTGTGCTATGCCTATGTGGACACACCATGTGCACATACCATGCCCACGTGGAGAGCACACATGTGCGCACACACGAACCTCCCTGCACAGGAATCTCCCACGTGTCTCACACACACACACATGCCTGCCCAGGCTGGGCTGCACACAACAGAGCTGTGTACATGCCACCCACACAGACCTGTGATTGTCACACCCCTTTACACAACTGCTTCAAACACAGGCACATCAAGCACAGACAGACATGTTACACGGCTGGAGGCAGCTCACACAGACACGTAACACGCTTGTCACACACACACAGGTCAGGCTGATGCCACATGTGGGCACAACCCCCCCAAACACAAGCATACACATGCCAGGCCCAAGCCTGCCAGGCCACACACTTCCCAGACCGGCCATGCCCAGACACAGATGCCCCGTGCACACACAGACATTTTGCCCTGCATCATGCCAAGCACATAGAAACACATGTTCAAGCTCTTTACATGGGCGGGGACAGGCTGCACTCAGACACACAGGCTCTTTGCATATATGAACACAGGTGCAAATGCATATTGTGTGCTATCCTGTGTGTGTGCAGCCTGCCAGGCGTGTGCATGACACCTAGCATAAAGAGGGCTTGCACACGTGTGCCTCTGCTGCGTGTCTCTTTCCC